ATGGATAATAGGTTGATTCTCCTCAAAGCATGACTGTTATGGTATATTTCCCATCACTCCCCTGTGTTACATAGTGATTTGGCTCCAGTTTTCCACCCTTTCTTCACGTGCTTGCATGCACACACCACAGACATGATGGTACCTGCAGTACCCAATACCACTAATTATGGCAGTCTAACTTGGTTAGCGTAGTATGCCATAGTGCAAGAGGTGTAGAATGCCCTGTTGAGGTAGACCATTCCCACACCCATCACATTTGGGTGTGCAATATTAGAGAGGACCATTAGATGGCAGTGGAAAAAAAACAGAATTCTTGCCACCTGTTGCCACCTGTTGGTTTACAGACCAGGTAGGGTATATTCTAATCTGGCTCCATCCATTGGATGCAAAAGGAACCACTGTAGGGAATGTGCTTAAGTCTAACAGAGTTTCTCAGCTTTGGAAATTTTAAGAAATCTAAAGTTCAACTCAAGAGGTCAATTTCAACTAGAGTTGAAGGGCGCACATCTTAGTAGCCAAGTTTGAGAAACACTGCCCCAGCATGTCAGGAAGGACACAAGAGTCTGTAATTAGGACCCAGTGCTTCAATTAGCTTCAATTAGCCTTCCTTCTAGCTACATAAGTCAAGGTACATATTCGTCTAATTGTCTCTTTCTCTTTCAGGTACATAACATGTACAGAATATACCCATTTTTATGGCGGAAAGAAAGTTGGTATGTGACTAGACTTGTTGAATTTTTGTCTCCTTTGCATGTCTAATTTATATTTTGGGTCCCCCTTCCCCAGGGCATTCAAACCAGGATCTGCCTCCTGTTATCCTAGTTGTAAGATAGGCTGAACTAAAAGGGAGATTGGCCAAAGTCACTTAATTACAATGTATTTATAGGGTATTCATGCAAAGATGAATATGTGAATGTGTGAGACATGTATATTTTTTTCCTTTGAATAGAAATTCCACAGTCCAACTTCCGGCGCCTGCCTTTTGATCACTGTAGGTAAGTTTGAAAGAAACCACAGAGTAACAAATATCATAAAATGTTACTTCTTTCCTTCATACTTTTAATAGTTGGAATCAGTTTATATGGATGGGTTTGGTCATTCATCTTTGTGTGTTGGCTTAATGTTATGCCAGATAGGTTCGCTCTGCTTTTCTTATACTGAAATGGAATCCTTTTTTCTCAATCCTAGCTTATCTTTGCAACCCTTTGAATATCCAGTTTGCACACCAGATGGGACCATTTTTGACTTGCTGTAAGTTTTCTTTATTCCAGTTTCTCTTACATTCCCCCCTCTCTCCCCCTCCCTCTCCCTCCCTCTACCTACCTGTCTACCTACCTATTTGTCTACCTATCTGTCTGCCTACCTATCTGTCTACCTACCTACTTATCTACCTACCTACCTGTCTACCTATCTGTCTACCTACCTATGTCTACCTCTGTCTACTTATCTACCTATTTGTCTACCTATCTATCTACCTACCTACTTATCTACCTATCTATTTACCCATCTACCTATCCACCTACCTACTTATCTACCTACCTATCTGTCTACTTATTTACCTATCTGTCTATCTACCTATCTGTCTACCTCTGTCTACTTATCTACCTATTTGTCTACCT